CGCATTAAGAAGCATGAACAACCAAGAGTTCATATGGAAAACTGTGTCAAGCTAGCTGTGCTCGGAAAGATTAGCATAGCGGCGCAGCTGGAAGACGGACACCGCGTTGAGGTAAGAAGGCACAATGAAGAAGTTGAGAGGACTTGTCATATTTTATCTAAACTCCTTGACTGTTTTAAGTTTTGTGGTGGTTTTGGACCTGGCATTCTGTGGGCATGATGAAACGGGTGCTGTTCACTTGTATTCTTGTCTCACTGTTGATTGCATTTCCTATATTGGAGTAGGTAGAGAAATGTATTGTTACATCAGCCCCACCAAGAATATTTTTTACCAGCCGCCACTGCGCCACCTACCATCAAAAAAGAGAAGAAAAATGGCATGCTAGTCACTCTTAAATGCTATCGCCAGCCTCTCCAATGATATCACCAGCCATCCATTGCTAACGCAGGTGAGTACTCTCCTTCTCATTTGCCGGCTGCTCAGGTACTGGCGCCGGCCTGTCATTAATCAGATTAGTCGCTGGCTTCGGAGTGGATATAGTCTCCTGCAACAAAGAAGTATCCACCGCTGGGTGTGCAATAGTCTTAATTTTGCCACTGATACCGCACCATAGAATTTCCCATTTGGATTTAAGTCTGAACTTTGATTGGACAATTCTAATACATGAATTTGGTTAGATCTAAACTGTTTCGTAGTAGCTGTGGTTGTATGTTTAGGGTTGCTGTCCTGCTGGGAGATCACCTTTGTCCCAGTTTGAAGTTATTTGGAGTGTCTATAGGATTTTCTGGATTTAACACCACACATCTGTCCATCAACTCTGACCATCCTTTCTGTCCCTGCTGAAGAATAGCATCCCACAGGATGATGCCACCCCCACCATGCTTCCTGGTGGGAATGGCTTTGTTTCAACAATGGTTTTTCTTTTTTTGGTAGATTTACAGGTGTACCATATGCTTTCCCTCTTTAAATGTTGGATTGAACAGTGTTCTTTGAAGTCTTTAGAATTTGGGGTATTGTTTTAAGACCTACTCGGAACTTTTTCACAACTTTATCCCAGACCTGTCTTCAGTGTTCCTTGGTCTCCACAAAGATGGCTGTGTTTATACTGAGATTAAATTGCACACATTTGGACTCCTTTAAAACACAGGTGACTCCTGAAAGCAGTTTGTTGTATTGGACTTTATTTAGGGGTATCAGAGTAAAAGAGGTTGATTAAAAACACAAGCCACACTTTTAAGATCTCTATTTGTAGAAACTTTTTAAAAACCATGTATCCTTTTCCTTATGCTTCAGTTATGATTTTATGGTCTATCAAACTAATTCATAATCTTAACACTGAAGTTGCCTTTGAAAGGCACTGTACACTTTTAGCATTAAAGCACAGACATATCAACCTAGGCACTCACTCACAAACCTGAAGATGTATCTACACAAAATGCTTAACAGGCAACCCAGAAGTGACAAAGAACATGAGGCCAACTACAACAACCTCCAAACAAGTAAAAAAATGCATTATTAGTGTGTGGTGTGTGCTACTGTCCTCTACGCAACTAGTAATTATCACCACTGAGTCATCCATCAAATGTATCTGCAGTGATGTTATTAGCCATTTTATGGTCAGGCTAAATGATAATGTTTGTTGTCAGCACAAGTAGCAAGCAAATCAGAGGCAAAAACTATCAGTGTTAAATTACACTTTCACAGGGGTGCTTGCAGCAGGGATCATTTGTCAGTTAACATGCTGATCAACGATGCAGAGCATGTAGCATCCCCTTACTGAGAGGAGACATGGTGTAATTATCCAAGCTAGTGTTGGCAATAAAAGTTGGTTTGGGAATTAAAAGATTTCACTTAGCTCTGTTATGAAATATGAATCAATTTCTATTCATCCATTGCATGCATTACAAGGTAAAATAATTATTTCAACTTATTTTTAATCATCAAGATGCACAGAGAAATCGGCTGGTTTTTACACTTGACCGGCCCTAACTGGTGATTAGTCACCCTTACGTGACGAGGGGCATCCATGTCTTATTCCTCTTTTGAACCTAAAATCTTGGGCTTGTGCTGTGGTTTGGAGAGACAGAGCTGTATAGTATTCCCACAACATTGAGGAACCTTTGTCCAAAGCCAATATAGGGTATGGTCTGCATTATAAAAAGGGGGCTCAACACCATCAGAAGCTTTATAAAAGCCTAAGAATAACATAAAACCCCCTTCATTAAATAAGTCACTATAGTGAAGCAGATCTAATACAAGTCAGATATTGTTGGGTATTGATCGACCTTTTAAAAAAACAGATTGTTTTTACCTAATTATTGTTAAGATCACTTGTTTTAATCGTGCAGCAATAACACCAGAGAGACTTTTTTTATGGTATGTGTTTAACAAAGTAACAGGTCTTAAGTTGTTAATTATTTGTTTATCTCTTCTGGATTTGGGGATTGAGATAATTAAACCTTCTTTCATGCTAGGAGTCAACTCTTTTCTCTCTATACATACATCTATAGCCCTAAGTAGAAGATCTTTTTTATCTTTTCAGATAAATCGATAAAAATTGGTTGTAAGACCCTCAGTGCCTGGTGATTTATTTAATGGCATTTTGGAAACCACTGTCTCTAATTCCCCAGGCTTGAAGTGTGAATCACATACATTTTTTAATGACTCTTCAATTTGTGGACTTTTACTTTGGATTTGCTCAAGGAGATGATTAGAATTGTCTCTGAGAAGTCAGCGGAATATAACTAAAGATTTATTTTCCTATAATCTCACTGTCATTGCATCCCTCATCCTTAATCAATAAGTTAGTTACTGAGTTCTTTTGCTGTTTACTTTTTCTGAGCGGCTAAAATACGAAGAGTTCTTTTCTCTGGCTTCAATCCCTTTTACTCTCGACCTGACATAAGCACCTTGTGCTCTTTGCAAAAATAGAGCATCTATTTTGGCTTGTAATTCCATTAATGTTTGACGTTTTGAATCGGAAGAGTTACAACTTTGATTACTTTCTTTGAAAAAATCACATTGATGTCGTTTTTCCTTCTTCCTTGGCAGAAATATATAGTATCTAATCTTATATTGCAAGAATTCCCCTTTATTTATGTTATCTGTGATCGTCATCAGATTCCACATCCTTGATAATGTCTTTAATCTTAGAGCAATATTCTTGTCTAATAAACTGGCATTAAATTTCTAATATCATTTATGTCTCTTTCTCTTTATACTAGGTCCTACTTAAAACTACTAAGGAATGATCACTGTGATTTGGCGACCATCTCTATACCCATAAGGACCGAAAAAATAAGCCACTCTTCCCGCTTTCCTGGCTTGATCAGTAAGTGGCCCAGTCCTCTTTGGGTAGCACTTCAGCAAATTTAATGTCTAACTCTTTGCAGTAAGTGGAATCTTTTGTTTTCCTCCAAATTTATTTCTTGGTTATCCTCTATGTAAATACAAAAAATCCACTGCTTTGGCTAGACTAGCGAGCGTAGCACTATGTGTCACCTGTTTACTTTTACTAAATACTTCAGTTTGCCTTAGTACTTAGTATTAAGGGATTCATGTGAACAGTATGGAGGACCAATCCTGCCATAATTAGGAATATATACAGAAATAAATAAATGCTCAATAAATTAATAAGCATACAAATCAATGCACAAAAATACAGTAAATAAATAAATGTAGGCAGTAATTAAAGTATTCAATGAGACATAAATGCATATATCTAATTTAATTAGCTTCTTTATTTATTCACCTTTGTAATAATTACCTCATTTATTTATTATCCATTACACATTTCTACATTATTAATGGACTGAACTTATATAGCGCCTTTCCAGTCATACAGACCACTCAAAGCGCTTTACACTGGAGCCACATTCACCCTGCCACAGTCGCCTCCTTAATGACTCGTGTTTATATTTACTTTTTTATTTGTTCAATGCTATTTATTTATGCTGGGCTTTGAACATTTTCGTATGCATTTCTGCCTCATTATGCAAATGAGGAGGAGCTGTGTCTTCAGGCGTCAGGATCTCCCTATTGGTTGGTTAGCATTAGCCTGCATAGCTCGAATCTGCATAGCTTTTCCCCACAGAAAAGCATTTAGCAATGGTGATCTCGGCAGATAGACATTTGGTGTCCTAACCCTAACCGTAACAGCATTCTAATTCCCCCAGTCTATTAGCAGATTCAGAAATGTAAAGAGCACAGGCATAAATAAATAGCATTGAACAAATACGTAGAGTAAAAAAATACTAAGGAAAAATCAAACGTACAGAAAATATTAGAACACATAAATGGCCTTCACTTGTATAGCGCTTCATCAAGTCCCAAGAGACCCCAAAGCGCTTTACACTACAATCAGTCATCCACCTATTCATACACTGACAGAGGTAGACTGCATTGACAGAGGTGAGGCTTCCATACACAGGTGCCACCGAGCCCTCTTACCACCATCAGCAGGCAAGGAGGGTGAAGTATCTTGCCCAAGGACACAACTGAGACAGAGTAGGGGTTCAAACCAGCAACCCACCGGTTACAGGACAAACCTCTACCAGTGTCACCACCATCGCCCAGGATATACAGTTATTCACATTTAATCACTGCCCACATTTATTTATTTACTGCATTTTTTGTGTATTTAATTGTATGCTTATTTATTGATCATTTATTTCAGTATATATTCTTAATTATGGCAGGATCGTCCCTCCATACTCGGACCTGCTTTCAAAATAAAACCATAACTCAATGACGGACTTCTTTCTCAATCTAACCAGAGCAAACATATTTTAAGAACTTCAATGTTGAAATAGCGTCTTTAACATTAATATGAACATTTTTTCAAAAATTAAGCTTGTATTTAATTACTATAAAAATGTTGGTATTAAATAAAATGACATAATTTCATTTTAGACTGAACGGAAGACGTCAAGTGTTTTTCAACGATGTATGGACTTTGATGGAAACACAAACATTTGATAGGGGGAAAATTAAAAAGCTTCTCCTTCGAGCCGGAGTCGAACCAGCGACCTAAGGATTACCGTGTATACCCTACAGTCCTCCGCTCTACCAACTGAGCTATCGAAGGGAGATGGTGGACCTCCGACATCCAAATTAACATAAACTAGTTCATTGTTTACATCACAATCTACGTGAGTCCCGCGGGAGGCTAACATAACTTCTTTATGGCTTACTGCCAGGGAAGTCTACAAATGCACACAAGGCGTTCTGGAATGCGATATATCGGATGTCATAATAGATATGTAGTGATATACACACGTAGTCTTTTCAGATGGGGAATTAGCTGAAATGGTAGAGCGCTAGCTCATATCGAGCCCCCTCCCCGCACAAGGGAAAATGACGCAAAATGCACAAAACAGTGCGAGTTTTCACGGAGTAGTGAACTGAGGATTATGGGGAGGCATTTTAGCGTATTGTAGTTCATAGATTTTAGAGAATGTATTTAACGGAAGGTGGTCGCGAACCCGGAAACCTTGATTTAATCTGCGTCGTTCCTCGGCCACTTTGCATAGTCCCTTACAGGAAAGCATATTTTTTCATCCATACATTAAAATTATGTCAAACTTTGTGGATTGTTTAACACAATTGCACTGACTTGGCAAACTTTGTACTAAAACCTTTACAATTATAATGTTTATATATTATAGTTAATATATGTAGTTTATATGTACCATGGCAAGTGAAGTTCAAATAGTGTAAAATGCCCCTTTTTAAATGAGATATAATATTATTGTTTAGTCTTGTATAAGTATACGAAAATAAAGTCAAAATCGTTTTTGTATGTCGTTAAAAAAAGTAAATGTACATCACATCTACATGGTAAATGCAAACTTATTTTGACTGTTTAAGCCTACTACCTCTCATTAATGTAACAATAGTGTACCTGCACTAGTATTAGCCTTTGAGATTGAGCTTGCAGCAAAGAGTAGAGTAATAAAATCACAACGGGGTCATCAATGTTATGTGATGAACAACGCCTGCCCTGACCTCCCTCCGACCCTCAGCAGGAGCCTGTTGTTCAAAGACAAGCTGCTGGGACTTACAGTGGCCCTGGCCTCAGTTAAGTAAACATTAAACACTCCAATCCAAGGCAATTAAAAGCAGCACAATGAATCAGAATCTATGAACAGCATTTGTTCACAAAAACAGAGCACCACACACAACACACTTCCATTTATAAACAACTAATAATATAATAGAAATAATACAGTATTATAATATAACAGAAGTAATATAATAGCAGTATTCAGTAATATAAAGAAAAAAGACACGGGGCAGTGGGTGCAGGAGCCACTTGTTTGGCAGGTAAAACCGGAGTTGGAACCAGTGGAGGGGCATCTGAGGGGTGACCAGCACTCGCTGCCATCACCATCGACCCAGGGTTCAGTAAAATAAACTGGAGTGGTGGCACAGGAGCTGGGAGTGGAAGAGGAGCTGCTGGGGCGATGGGCAGCACAACCGCGGCACCAGCAGGTCATCTGCCTGGGAGCCTGTCCCGCTCTCTTCGGGGGAAGGACAAACTCACGTGGGAGCCCTGATGTGGAGGGAGTTTGATCCAGCCTTTCCCGCAGAGCTGGAAACTGAGCTGGCCACAGCGATGCCACCTTCAAAAGCAAGGCCCTGGGTAAGGACACCTAACTCCTGGGTGCTCGAATAAACCTGCAATCAAAAAATTGTCATTATTATAATTAACTGCAATATTTTCTTTCGAATATCTATGTAAAAAACGACTGTGCCTACCACTGTGTACGAGTCCTCTGGTTCAGGACAAAAAGCACTCCATCAGGGTGTGGCAGTTCAGCACTAGGTCTCAGATGTGGTGGTAATCCGTCCTTCTTGTTTGGAGACTTGTGCAGTGAACACAGCTTTATGCACAAGGCCTCAACTAAGCGACTGGTGCTGGGCCACTGAGCCGGACCCCCTGGATGACCAATCAGACGCCTCTCAACACTTTCCACACCCGGTGTCACTCCTGTGTTTTTAGGGGCCTTAAGCGACCCTGGGCCAACTTGTGTCGGTGTCTGGGCTGATAATTGATCTCCCTCTTGTCCCCATCAGGAAGAGTAGTCCACCAGCGGATGACCTCTGTGACCTGCTGCTCATCCAGGTAGAGTGCCTGACGGAGGGACACCGTGTACCCAACCAAATCCTGCACCTTATCATAGCCAGGGATGCCATCAGGTCCAAGAATTGGAGCCTGCAAGAAAGTATTAAAATACGAAACACAGCATGTAAAATCTCAGAGTGTTAAAGCACATATACTGTATGAATAATGTGGCACTGCAGCTAATGAGTAGTCTACTCACAGGGGCCTGGTCTGCAACACTGCACCCAGCTGATGTTGCAGGACCAGAGGCTCCACTTGGCTCAGCAGGGCAATGCAGAGGTGGGTGCAGAGGAGGCTGGGAAGGGTGCTGATATGGCGGCAGTCCTTGGCTGGATGTGGAAGGCTGTGGTGATGATGGTGCAGAGGAAGAGGGGTTGGAAGCCTATGGGATGCTGCTGTGCATTGAGACGGTACTTTCTACTCCATTTTTGAATTGAATGAAGTGTAAAAGTATTTTAAATAGTGGTTTCATTCAAACACATCAAGAAAACACCACCGGCTCATTCAGTTTCTGTTTGAATAGCTTTAGACCTTGTTTGGTAACAACCATTATTCATTATGAAAAAGAAAAAATCTTCATTAAAATACAACACATTTAACTCTTTAAAGTCTACTACTAATGGGTTGCTTCTTTATCTGTACTTTTACATAAGTAAGAAAATCGAGTACTTCTTTTACCGCTACATATCAGTGTTGAAGGTTTCTTGAAAGACATCGCCATAAGAAAACCATCGCTGCATTTCAAGACACACCTGTATAATAGTTTTTTCTTTTTTAGGGTTTTCATCAGCACATCTGAGGTAACATTAATCATTCTTGCCTGTGTATGCCCCAGGAGGTTGGTAGCGCTCGTCCAAGGGTCTCTTCAGGATCTTGTGGCTGAGTCGGTCTATTGCCTCCCTCTCAGCGCTGCTGTAGGTCCTCAGCTCAGTTTCCTCTCACTGCTTCCTCCATCTGGTCCTGGTTTCAGCTCTTCAGACCTTCCAGGAGGTAAGCCTGGAAGTGAGTGTCACTGGCACTGGTCCCTGCAGGTTAAACAAAGAAAATGACATAAACTCTCTGTGTTCAAAACAAAAAAAACATTAAACATGTAATCACCCAACTGGGATGAAATGATTTAGGTGGAAGTGAAAGGACTCCAAGGAGGTGGAGCCACGAGCACACCGGCAGCAGCAGAGATCCACACCACCCTTCTTCAGTGTCCCTGTCTTGAGGTACAGAGGAAAGCCCTCTGGGTCCTACAGGCAGTGTGTCTCTGCGGGTCTTTCCAGACCTGTTGAATGCACTCATGGTTCAGCAGTGGTACTGCCAAAGTGTCGGGGGTCAGGAGCAGAGGCAGGAACAGGGCCTTTTGAGGCAGCAGTGGGTGTAGTGGAAATAAAACACAATTATTTTGTTAAGTAAAGATTGTCACCGAATGTCTATTTCAGCACTGCAGGACAGCTACTAAGGTTACAATGTTTAGTGCAAAGCATTATGTTTAGTGGAGAGGCAATATGATGAGACAGTTGAGTTAAGGAAGGAAGTAGGGAAAATCATTCTGATTTTCATCCAAGCACCATTAAGTCAAATACAACAAGAAAAGTGAGATGGGATCAGCCAAGTGTGAAGCAAAGCAGTGCAAACACTGACACTACCTTACTACAACATTCTGCAGCCACTTATTCCAGGGGGAACGGGGGACATGTTAGATGACAAGAAGGAGCTTTAGTCAGTGATTAGGATAAAAATTAAATAAAAGTTCACATACACTTTTAAATTCCCTTTTTGCTTTGAGAGCACATGTAGACTGACACTCAATCAGTGCCAATTCTCTGTACAATACCATAAACGAACATTTTGTGTCATTTAAAAAATAATTATATCATAGAATTATTTGTTAAACATTGTTTGGGATCTACATACCTTGAGGAAGTTGTTCCTCAGCTTGCGAGGGCACAGTCGCCATCTCCTGGTCATCTCCCTCCTTAAAGAAATCCCCAGCAGCAGTGTCTGTAAAATAATACAGAACTAAGCACATCACCAACACATCATCAACATATCTGTGTGCATTAACTGAAGCTCACCACGGACTCAGAAAGAGAGGGGCGACAGGGTTTGGCTGGGGACTTTATTTTTTGTGCCAGCTGTAAAGCGGACAAATGCTTCCCTCGTGCCAACAGGGCCTTCACACTAGCAGCCGTCAGTGGCCTCCTCTGAGTAGGGGAAGGAGGAGCAGTAACAGTCGCAGTGGGCACAGCAGCAGCGGCAGTAGAGGCAGACACAGTGACAGCAGGGAGGTGGGCTGGAGCTGAAGCCTGCTTCTTCAGCACACAAGCCTTGAAAAGGGCCATGTTGGTGTTTGGCCTGTCTTCAGGTAGGTGATGAGAGCCTGGGCCTCTTTGCTTGCATCCTCATACACCTCCTTCATGGACTTGTCCCCGAACTTCACCATCAGACACCCAGAGTTATTGGTCCTCTGGGCCTCCTGGAGCATGGCCTGTTTTATTCTGGTACACCTCCACAGCTTCTCCTATCTCCCTGATCTGGGAGGTGTACCTGAGGAACAGGTGTTTACTGGCCAACAGTGTGTTGTCTCTCTCTTCTTCCCCCATAATGCGGCTGACCAGATAGACTGCATAGCCGAGGAAGTTCTCCAATGGCCACCGGAAGCTCTGGCCCTGGTATTTTCCAAACTGGATCTTACAGTGAGCAAGAACCAGGAACTGGTCACCAGGACCCCCTCCATTCTGCCTCCTTATGCTGAGCCCTCCCTGCCACCACAATTTCACTCCTATTCGCCTCCTCAGTTGGTCCCATGAGGAGCCGACCCTGAGGATTTCTGCAGAACAAGGGGTGTGCATACATAATCTGAAAGGAAACAGGCATAAACACAAAGTTACTTGTATAAATATTGTTTGAGATAATCAATCATTACACTTTATTTCGGCCATTTTTTTCAATAAGTTTCAAAGAACTTA